CAAAAAGGGCCTGTTCACACATACACACCTTTCCGGAAAATTGCCTGCAATTTTCCGGAAAGGTCTGTATGTGTGAAAGGGGCTATAGTCCCTCCAGCTTGTTTTGGGTCTTCCCCGAGGCCTCCTCCTGGTGGGACATGCCTGGAACACCTCCCTAGGTAGGCGTCCAGGAGGCATCCGAAACATGGATGGGGGTGTTGGTGTTGTGAATGGCGGAGGGAAGAAAGTAAGCGTGGCGGGGGTGTCTTGGATGACAGTGAAGAGGGTTGGGGAGTCGCGGACGAGAGTGAAAGTGAACAGCGGATGGTGGAGAATGGCGTTGGAAAAGGCGGATCAGTAAAATGAGGTGCCGGATCAGATTTTAGAGGTTCGGGATCCGACATATTCCAGCACAAATTATGCCCTGCAGTTTACACACACACACACACACACACACACACACACACACACACACACACACACACACACACACACACACAAAACACATCCACTCTTCTAAACTCTTCATAACATCTTCAAATCTAGTGTGTTTCTTTTAGGATTCCTGTTTAAATTTCTTCAAAGTTCAGATCTGATCCTGTCAGATCTGATCCCGTCTCACATTCCAGAGCCTTAAAAGTGTTGCTGACATAATGAACTGAACTCAGCAGCACATGCATGTTGTTGACTATCAGCGACAGTCTGATACTTCATGAGCATAGCAGCATTAAACGCAGCACTCAGAGCGTGACGTACTGCACCGTTCCGGCCCACGCGAACACATTATCTGACACGCCACCCAAAAACAAAACGATTCACAATCACACAACTCATTCATCAGTGCCTGTGTGTGAATGCTGCATGTTCACTACTGTTATCTTGAAGGAGTGTCATGACGTCAAATCTGTCTCTTTAAAATACTTCCAGCTCTGAAAACGAGGCTGGAACAGATTAGGAAGTTAAAGGGTTGTTAAGTGAAAACAAGACTTGAACCTGATGGCAGCTGTTTGCATTGAAGTGCTTTTTAAACTGAATCGCTCTACCCACAAAACTCCCATTAACGTTCATTAGCATCATTAGTTTAAAGGGGACCTATTACGCAAAAGTCACTTTTATAAGTGGTTTAAACAGTTGTGTGGCAGCAGTGTGTGAATATATCCAGCCTCTTATGATGAAAATGAATTAATTCTATTTTGTATAATCACACTTGAAGAAAGCAGTCTGCAGAATCACTTTGATTGACATTCTCCCTTTGTATGTGTCATCAGAGTTATAAAAGCCCCGCCCATTAGTGACCACCTCTCCCTCATTAGCATAAACAGCCCTGAGTGAGAAGCAGCCGTCTGCCATTTGAGTTTTCACAAGCTCAAGATAAAGTCAGCTAAGACGTTTTTGAATGGTTTACTAATGGCCGCGAGTGTTATGTTACTATCTTTCACTGTGTATACCAGACAGTATTATGACATTTTGTTCCCTCTAAAGCTATTTAAGACTTACACTTGCATTTAAGATGCTTTCTACATGAATAAAATCGCTTTTGTCATCTTTGACCTATATTATAATATTAAAGATAATGTTTATTCTCCTTGTCTGACAGCGTGAAGGAAAAACACAACGCTTTCTGTGTCCTCAGCACACTCTTGTTTGGGATTCATGGGCAGAAAATGTGACACAACCTTTGACCCCCAGACAAGGGGCCTTTCATTTCGGTCTTTGAGGTGGTCTGTGAAGAGACTAAAGTTTCCTTTTCCTCTTTTTATCTCTTACAAACATCCACTATAATGTCAAGGCCCATAAGTTGAGCTCCATAGTGAATAAACAGAGAACACTGTGAGACTTTTCCAGGATTAAAGCAAATCTAGGTTATCCTACAGTGTAACACATACCGTATCCTGGGGTTATGTAACACCGTGACCACAGCTAAGGTTTTAAAATGCGAGTTATGTAAGCATAATCACTCTACAGGTGCAATGACTCTATATATTCTACTCTCAATTCTTAACAACTTTATATTACATATTAAAGGCTCTGCATTTTAAATAGAAGTCCTATAACTGTAAGCCAAGTGGCATATCTGTCATCATTTTGTACATAAACAGCTTCTGGTGTAAGGGTTATCGGGTGTATTATGAGTCATAATTTCATAATTCATTTTGACATGTTGTTATAAAATACCCTAGTTTGATAAGACAACGTTTTCAGTAAAGGATCTCATTTTCTAGCTCATTACGGGGGATGTGTTTGCCTGGCTCGGTCTGGATTTTGTGCCATGTGTAATTATGTGGTAAATCCTGTCAGCTTCTGTAACTTCCCATTCAGTGGTGAAAGATCAGGCAAGAAAGAAGTTAAATGTTTAAAAGAGATAAATGATTATTTTATTTTATTAATGATTTAATGAAATATTTAAAAAGTAAAACGTTTTAGCTTGTTTCAGGCGGACTTTTTAAACGCTCACACTTTTACACCAGTAGATGGCAACAAATGAATGTATCGTTAATACACTGTTAAAAAAATTATTATATATATATATATAATTACATAATTTAAAAAATGCTTTTATTACTGATCAAAATAATACACACATATATATATATATATATATATATATATATATATATATATATATATATATATATATATATATATATATATATATATATATATATATATATATATATATATATATATATATATATATATATATATATATATATATATATGTGTGAGTGATATATATATATATATATATATATATATGTGTGTGTGTGTGTGTGTGTATATATATAGAGATATATACATATATATATGTATATATATATATATATATATATATATATATATATATATAAATAAATATATATATATATATATATATATATATGTGTGTGTGCGCGCGCGCGCACGCGCATATATACACACACACACACAC